AAAAAGAATTTTTACAAAAGGAAATTTCAATCTCAATATTTTTCATTATAATCTGTTCTTTATGGTCCACTGTAAAATGGACAGATTGAACACAATCTGCTAAAAAAAAAAGGGAGGGGTTATATCACAAGCACTTTCTATGCGCAAGACCCCCCCAAGAGATACCATAGAGTATGTACACATCAACAAGACACAATCTAATCTCAAGGAGCTTATATAATAAGCACAGACACATACATGACTTAACCTAATACAAAACAGAATGTGATTAAGTGCTTAAAATAGAGCACTGTGAAGTGCTAGGAAGCAAAGCCAGCTACTTCAACTTCCTTATTCTAAATGAGAAAACGGAGGCTAAAAGAAATCCTAAAAGAAGATAATACAAAGCCAGAAGAAGGTAGATCCTGGTGTCTTAGTGCCAAGTCCAAGGCTTCCTCCACTCTCCACACTGTCTTCCATTCAATTTTTTTCTCTTCACTTTCAATGATAATGAATAAGGTTAACACCGATATAATTTCTTTTTACCTAATGTATAAAAATTTGACCTACCCAAGGATTTTCTTTTACATGTGTACTTAACAGCAATATCATAGTACTTATGACTATCAATTATATTTACTAAAATTTATTCAGTGCTTTCTATATGTCAGCCACTGTGCTAAGTAAATGCTTTATAACCATCTCATTTAACCCTCACAACACTATATGGTAGGTATCAAGATTATATCCATTTTTCAGGTGAGGAAACTAACGGTAGGTGATAAGTACAAGTTCATACATTTAGAAGTGGTAAACATGTCTTAACTATAAAGCCTGCTCTTAAAGTGAATCTACTAGATCAACTACTTGGGAAAAAGTACACATTTTTAAATTGACATTTGGGATAAAAGATAATCCTGTGACCTATACTGGAAAATGACAATGATTTTCTGAATTGTACTTAAAGTATCTGTTTAAATTACAGTTTATCATACTAGTCTAACAATCAGGGGTACCCAAGGTTAGGCAATTTCTACTTATGTTATAGTAGCTGTCATATAAGAAATTCTGAAATAATAAAGAAAAACAGATCACTCAAGCAATTGTTAGAGCATAATACAAAGAATAATAAGCCAAATCACACGATATACTTAAAATTTAATTATCCAGAGACAATTTTCTCCACTAAATTAGTCAAGGTGATTTTGATTATAGGGAAAAAGTATGTCAGCAAATAACTAAAACACTGGCATCTAAAATACACCTAAGACCCAGGACATAAAAATACTTTGATTTCTCTAAATGTCAAAGTTGATAATTAGTACTAACATAAGGACAGACATAGAGACCAATATAATGGAATCAAGACACCAAAAATAAACCCTCACATTAATGACTGTATCAGTCAGCATGGGCTGCTATAACAAAATACCATAGGCTTAAAAAACAAAAATTTATTCCTCACAGTTTGGAGGTTAAAAGTCTTAAGATCAGGGTATCAGCAAGGACTGGGTTCTAGTGAGGGCCTCCTTCTTAGCTTTCAGACATTAGCATCTTACTTGTATCCGCACATGGTTGAGAAGGAGTGAGAAAGACAGAGTGCAAGCTCTCTGGAGTCTCTTCTTATAAAGGCACTAATCCTTATGAACTCCTTTAAACCTAATTACCTTCCAAAGCCCCCATCTCCAACTAACATCACACTGAGGGTTAAAGCTTTCATTTATGAAGTTAGGGGGAGAAAATGCAGTCCATAATGATGGCCAACTAATTTTCAACAAGAGTGTCCAGATGATTTAATGAGGAAGAAACAGTCTTTTAAAAAACTGGGGCTGGGACAAACAGATATCCATGTAACTAAAGAATGAAACTGGATCCTTTTCTTGTAACATACACAAAAAAGAACTCAAAATGGATCATAAAACTAAATGTAACAGCTAAAAGTATGAAGTTCTTAGAAAATATTGGATCATCAGAAAAGTCATAACACATTTTTCTTTCTACGCAAAAATGCATCATGACTTTTCCGACAACCCAATAGGAATAAATCTTCATGACTCTGGATGAAGCAATGGTTTCTTTGCTTTAACGCCAAAAGCAAAAGCAACAAGAAAAAATGAGATAAACTGGGCTAGGGTCAGGTGGTAGTGCAATGGTAGCACACCTGGACACACATGAGAATGGGTTTATAGTCCAGGACTTCCCTGAAAATGAGCATACTGGGTGTGTGACTAGGGGGTGGGTCAATCACAGTGCGGGGACCCTATTCAGTGCCCCTCCCCCCAAAATAAACAAATTTTTAAAAATTAATTACAAGCAAAATTTAAACATAGGGCCAATCTGTGGACTGGTGGTTAAGGCAGCTGGATCCCACATGGCCAACTATGCAGTTCAAATCTCTCACCCAGCAGCTTGAAAAACACATTGGGCATGTGTGTGTGTGTGTGTGCATGCCCAAAATCCCAAAAGGAGGGAGGGATGGAGAAGGGATTGTGGCATGACCATGCCCATGGAGAGGTGCTTTACTGCTTTCCCTCTCTTTCTTTCTCTCTGGCAAGTGTACATGCCCACTGGCAAGTTAAAATATCATTTAAAAATAGGGACCAGCAGTTAGCGTAATGGCTATGTTGCTGCACTCCCATGTAGTCGTCCGTGGTTTGTGTCCTGGACCCAGTGGCTTAAAACTCACACTGGGCACGTGTGCGTCCGTGCCCAAGATCCCAAGAGGAGAATGGAGGAGAAGGGACTGTAGTGTGGCCATCCCCCCTAGGGGGTGACTTCTCGCTTTCTGTCTCTCTGTCTCACTGTCTGGCGAGCACACGCGCCCTATAGCAAAAACCTCTAAAAAAAATAAAAATATAAATAATTTAAAATAAAAATTAAAAATAAACTGGGTTGCATCAAAATTTATAACTTTTGTGGCGGATACCGTTAAGAACATGAAAAGACAAACCACAGAATGGGACAAAAGTTCTGTAAATGATGTTTCTGAATATGATAGTCTAATACTGTAGAATATAAACGAAACTCTTAAAATGCAATAATACAAATACAAATAATCCAATTAAAAAATAGGCAAAGGATGTGAATATATAGTTCTCTAAAGAAGATATAAAAATGATGAATAAACATATGAAAATATGTTCTACCCCATTGGCTACCAAGGATACAAATGAAAACCACAATGAGATATACCAATTTGCAACTACTTAGATAGATAAAATAAAAGAGAAAAGATATTAACAAGTGTCCTGAGGATGAGGAGAAACTGAAACATTCAAACATTGTGAGTAGGAATATAAAATTATACAGCCATTTTGAAAAAGTCTGCTGTTTCTCAAAAGGTTAAACACAGAGTTATGAATAATACGACCCTGCAATTCCACTCCTAGATATATAACCAAGAGAAACAAAAACAGGTTTACATACAACCCTGTGCATGAATGTTCACAGCAGCATTATTCATAACATCCAAAAAGCAGAAACAAATTAAATGGCTAACAACTGATGAACAGACAAACAAAATGGGGTAGAGATATACAGTAAAATATTGGGACCAGCAGATGGTGTAATGGTTACATCTCTGGATTTGCACAGGGCCGAATGCATTTCGAATCCCAGACCTAGGGGCTTGCGACTCATGCATGCATGCCCAAAATCCCAAGAGGAAAACAGAGAAGGGATTGCAGTGAGGCCATCCCCCACCCCTGGGAGGGGGGATGATTTCTCACTTACTCTCTGTCTCTTGTCTCTAAGGTGAGCGCATCACCCTATAGCAAAAATTTCTCTAAAGAAATATATATATACATATATATTTATATGTATACACACACACACACTAAAACATTATGTTACAATAAAAAGAATTACAAAACATAGAACCAGATGGTGCAATGGTTACATCACTAGACTCTAACATAGTTGACCATGGTTTGAGTCCCAGACCCAGTGGCTTAAACTCATACCAGGTGTGTGTGTGTGTCTGTGTGTGTGAGTGTGTGTGTGCGCGCCCAGGATCCTGAGAGGAGAATGGCATAGAGGGATTATGGTGTGGCCATCCCCCCGGGCAGTGATTTCTCACTTTCTGTCTTTCTGTCTCCCTCTTTCCGAGGGGGGGGTGGGGGGAGAATTACAAAAAGGATTAATTAAAGCTAGAGTCTTCCATTATTAACTGATGACAATTTCTAAGTTCACCAAACACAAGAATCCCCTCAAATGACTAAAATGTTCAAGTTCAATTAATGTTCCACTCTCAAAAATTAAAACTGCACATAAGTTGCTATGGTCTGAATGTTTGTGTTTCCCCCAAAATTCTTTTATTGAAATAATCCCCAATATGATGGTATTAAGAAGAGAGGGATTTGGGTGATGATCAGATGATAAGGGCTCTACCCTCATGAATGGGATCAATAATCTTAAAGATAAAGAGACCTGGGCTGGCCCTATAGCACACTGGTTAAGGGAAATGGATCTCCCATGGCTGACCACAGTTTGAGTCAAGGCCTTGGTAGTTTGGAAAAGTGTGCCAAATGGCAACAGGATGCAGAAATGGAGGAGAAAATCCGAACAGGATGAAGAAATGGAAGAGAAGGAATTGTGGTGTGACCATGCCTCATTTTTTTTTTTTTTAATTCTCTTTCTCTTCCTCTCTTTCTCTGGCAAGTGCTCATGCCCTCTGGAAGTAAAAAAGAGAGGGAGAAACAGAGAGAGAAAAAGCAAGTCGCCAGGTCTGGGCCCCAAATTGCTATTGATCATGTGGGAATCCAGTGCCCCAACTACCATACCACTTGCTGGACCCTCTAAGGATCATTCTTAAATGAGTGCTTAGCCTTTATCAACACTAAGCCTCTAATATTAATAATCAGTTTGTGCTAATATTAATTACTAAAGCAATTTGGAATTTATTGTTATATGGTTATAAAACATAGGAAAACATGAAATAAAACCAGATACCCATGTTTAAAAATAAACAGCTACATATTAGACTTAAATATGTGAGGAAAAATGATAAAGAAAGCACTTACTGTAAAAATGTTCTAAAGTCTGAAGTGTCAACATTTTCCACAGCAACAGGCTCCTGGTTTGATAAATTGTTTGAAGTCTGTCCAATAGTATGAAAACAGAAGTCAGGAACCCTTGCTAAAAGGACTGCTCTGTGCGCTTTGAATAAAGTACAACCTATAGAGAATGTAACATCTGTATGGAATTCTTCCTTTAGAAGCCTATAAAGAATAAAAAGAAATCACAATTTAATTAGTGAGGCTAAGAAATATGTAATATACTTGTTTTTTAGGAAACAAATTTAAAAGATAACCCATAAATTGTAGAGGCAACATAAAATGAATTGGTTCTTGGGCCAGTAGGTGGCATGGTGGTCAAGGTGCTGGACTCCTACATGGATTCCCACATGGCTGACCATAGTTTGAGTCCCGGACCTGATGACATGCTATCTCACTTTCTCTGTCTCTCTCTCTCTCTCTGGTGAGTGCATATACCCTATAACAAATTAAAAAATAAAAAATAATAATAATAAAATTAATTAATAATACAAAAATCCTGAAAGGAGGGAGAAATAGAAGAGAAAGGATTCCCAGGAGTGTTTTCTCTCTCTCTCTCTTTGTCTCTCTATGGCGAGCACACGTACACTCTAGCAAGTAAAAAAATAAATTTAAAAAACAGCGAGTTGCAGGCCAGCAGATGGCATACTTTGCTGGGCTCCCACATGGCCTACATGGTTTCAGTCTCCAACCCAGTGGCTTAAAAATCATGCCCAGCACGTGTGAACGAGTGCCCAAGATCCCAGGGGGAGAATGGAGAAGGGATTGCAGCATGGCCATCCCCTCGGTAGGGATTTCTCACTTTCCCTCTCACTATCTCTGTTTTGGTCTCCTTCCTTTCCCCCCTACCCCCAAGTGCATGTGCCTTCAGGCAAAAACCTCTTAAGGAAAAAGAAAATAAATAAACTGAGTTACAGAGGCAGCAGATGGTGTAGTGGTTATGTCGCTGGACTCCCACATGGCTGACTGCAGTTTGAATCCAGACTAATGACTTGAAACATGCTGGGTGGGTATATGTGAATGCCCGAGATCCTGGGAGAACAGAGAAAGGATTGTGGAGTGGCTGTATCCCTCCTGGGCAGTAATTTCTCACTCCCTCTCACCATCCCTGTCTCTCTGGTGAACCACATGCTCCCTATGGCAAAAACTTTAAAATGAAACAAAACAAAACAATAACAGTGAATCAGTTCTCAAAGAGCACTGTTTAATACTGATGTCGAGGGACCAGCAGATGGCATTATGGTTCCATCACTGGACTCCCACGTAGTTGACCACAGTTCAAGGCCCAGACCTGGCGACTTAATATACCAGGTGTGTGTGCATGTGAACCCAAGATTCCAAGAGGAGAGTGGAGGAGAACGGATTGCTGCATGGCCATGCCCTGGGTAGGGATTTCTCACTTTCCCTCTCACTGTCTCTGTTTCGGGGTCATTTCTTGCTTTCTGTCTTTCTCTGTCTCTTTCTGTCTTTCTAGCAAGTGAATGTGTCCCATAGCAAAAATCTCTCTTAAAATAAATAAATTAAAAATACTGCTTTCAAACCTAACTTTTCTAACATTTATTTGAAAACTGGGTAATTTCACTAATAAATATTTTTTCAAAATGTCTTTCCTTATTAATCTTCCTAATTTTTTTTTCTCCTACTTATGTTGATTTTCCTTTAAAATACACTTTTTTAAGATTTATTTTGAAACACAGAACACAAAGTTAACATGGCTATTGACTAATGAAAATAACCAATTAAAAAATGTCTTACCGAAACTGAAGCAAAAAAGTAAACAATCAATAATACCAAAAAATGAGACATGACAATAGACAATGCAGATTAGAAACTGGTACTCTTTGTTCTGACTAATGTTAATTACCAAGTCTGAAATGCAGGCTTGGCTGTCAAGAATGTGGCATTTCAGCCCTTTTACCCCAACAACAAACAGAATTAATCATGCTCTAACCTGTTATTAAAATGATGGACTCAAGGGGTAAACTCATTCAAATTCCTTCACTAATGTACAGATACACTTAGGGCAAAACCCACTGATTTCATGTACATATAAAGTGATGGAAGAACAGAAATCTACATTATAATAGAAACTGTCATAAACATAATCTTTTGTCTCTGTGGTAACTACATATTTTTGCTCTCTAAATACTAAATAACACTTCATATCTCTCTAGTAATATCATCAGCAAGGTGTGTATTCTCAGAAGACTTCTGTTGCCATATATAATTGGCAATCACACCAGTACACTCTGAGAGGTATGTGTTAGAAGGATATCCATCACAGCAAAAGCTTGGAAAGTGGCCAATGACATTCACACTCCCCGAAGACAAAGTTAATGGCTTCTTCTTCCAAAGCCATCACACTTGGTACATACCTCTATGACAACACTTCTGTCACCGCATCATTATTATTTTTATGTGTCTTTCTCCCTACTAGACAATGAACTATCCAAAGGCAAAAACTGCATCTTCAGTATATAGGAAGAATTCAGTATCTACTGGTTCAATAATCCTATTCAACCTTAAACAAAATAAATGCTTCAGACCACTAAAGCTTTCAGAACCTTTAACACAATGAGCATATAGATGCTCAATCTTACTTTGGTCAATATTTTCATCAATAAATTGTTTTCATAAGTAATTTTTAAAGTTATGAAAAACATGTTGGTCCCTAAAACTGACAAGACTCAAACTGTGCAAACACTGATTTGTTTCTTCCTCCCCCACACTCTCTTCCTATACCCTACTCCTCCCTAAGGGAATAAGAAAGCATTGCTGCTGGTAACCATACAACCATCACTAGGCAATCTGACGTGTTCATAAGAGATGCTCATGTGTATTTATCAAATGGAACAAAGGTGTGTGTGTGTGTGTGTGTGTGCCTGAAAAATTTTCAATGTGAAAATATAGTGGTTTTTATTTTATTAATCCACTTTATCAATTACAAATATAATATGTTTTTTAAGAATTATTTTAATTTTATTTTATTCATTGTCATTATTTTAATTTTATTTTTTTAGAGTTGACCAGAGAAAGACAGGCAGAGAAAGAAGGAAAGTGAGAAAGCAAGTTGTCAGGTCCAGGACTCGAACTGTGGTCAGCCATGTGAGAGTCCAGCTGCCTTAACCACCGCGCCACCTGCCCTCCCCTCATATATGTTAATAGTAACAAAATCTGACTCAGATTGGCTTAAACATTAAGGGGGATGGCTATTGGCTCATCTAACAGTAAAGTCGGAGGAAGGACAGATTGGAACAAAGACTCGATGATGTCAAGGCCCAGCTATTTTCCATTTCATTTCTTTGTCAACTACGGTATTATCTGTTTTAGTCCATTTTGGGCAGCTATAACAAAATATCGCAGACTGAGTAATTTATAATGACAGAAACTTATTGGCTGTGCTCTGAGGCAGGGCAGACCAAAATCAAGGTACCCAGCGTCTGGCAAGGGCCTTTTCATCACATAGTGGAAGGAGAGAGAACGAGACAAGAAGAAGAGGTCAAACTTTGGGATCAGCAGATGGCATAATAGTTACGTTGCTGGACTCCCATGTAGTCAACCATGGCTCAAATCCTGGACCCAGCAGTTTAAAACTTATGCCAAGTACATGTGTGTGTGTGCCCAAGATCCCTAGAGGACAATGGAGAAGGGTGGCGTGCCATCCTCTTCGAGAGTGATTTCTTGTTTTCTGTCTTTCTATGTGTCTCTGGCAAGCACACGCACAACATAGGAAAAAAATCTCACCAAATAAATAAATAAGAAGCAGCAGCCAAACCTGCCCTTTTATAATGGCACCAATCCCACCATGTAAGTGGCCTAATCACCTTTTTTCCTTTTTTTAAAAATTTGTGTGATAGAGTATGTGCACTCATCAGAGAGACAGAGAGACAGAGAGAGAGAGAGAAAGTAAGAAAGCACCGCCTAGTGGGCAAGGCCATGCCACAATTCTTTCTCCACCATCCTCCCTTTGAGATGTTGGACATAACACATGCACACACACACTCCCAGCGTGCTTTTCAAGCTGCCAGGACCAGAACTCAAATTGTGAAGTTGGCCACGTGGAATCCAGATGCCCCAACCACTAAGCCACCAGCTGGCCCTGCTTAATCATCTCTTAAGGGTCTCATCTCCTAATTCTGTTGCAGTGGTAACTAAATGTCAACATGAGTTTTGGAGGGGAGATCATTCAAACAACATAAACAAACTAAAGTATTTTAGGACAGTGGGACATTCATCATGTGGGATCTGGCTTCTCTTGAACAGTGCTTTACCACGGTACGGTGTTTAACTCATCTTTTTGTACAGTGCTAAAGCACTGTTCAAGAGAAGCCAGATCCCACATGAAGACCACGGTTCAAATAACCCTGGTCAGCCTGAAACATGCCAAGCACACACATGAGTGTCCAAGATTTGAGGAGCTGGAGGGCTGAAGGAAGGGGGGTTACAATGTGACCAGATCCTGAGGAGGATACTCAACTTAGATGCTCTCACTCTTATGCTTGTGCGTACCACTGTATCACAAATAAGAAATAAAATAATAAAAGCATTTTAGACTGTTTAAAAAACCCCAGTTATCATTAAACATTTATTGAGCACATATTATTTACCAAATACTAAGAACAAAAAGATGAGTTAAACATAACACCTGCCTTCAAGAAGTCTATAGTGTATGACCCAACTTGATGGTGCACTGAACTGCGGTGCTAGAGGCAACATGGTCTACCAGGGGTATGGATCTCTGGCCTGGTGGACCAGAAACACATTAGACACATGTACACATGCCCCAAATCCTGGTGAGCTGGAGGCAGGGGAAAGGGCGCTGCAGCATAATGAGACTTTGTTGGGGTGCTTCTGTCTCTCTGACCCTCCTTCTCTCTCCCAGGTGTGTAATCTCTATCATGAATAAAATAAATAAAATTTTTAAAAAAACGTTTACAGTGGGGAAACCAGGCCTGAAAATGAAGTGTGATACATTTAACAGCACCAACGAGTAACCTGCTTTCAAAGACTGACGTAAGAGAAGACCTCACAGAGGACATGATGGCAAAATGAAAGTTTAAAGATTGAATAAGAGTGGATTACTGAGGCAAGGCAAAATAAGAGGGTGTTCCTGGCTCCACGTTCCTTGTAAACAAAGGAACAAAAGTACATGTGGGGAACCAGCA